GGGGCGCGTTGCGCATCGGCAGTGCCTTCCTTGTGCGCGGCCGCGCCTCGGCGCCGTGCATGTGTACATGTGCACATACACAAACATACGTAGACATATGTATGTATATGTATGGGTGTCGTGCCCAGAGAATTGCGCCGCGCCCATGGTAAGGGGGCGACGGCGCCAGTACAGGGCCCTTTGCTCTCGCAGGGTTCATACTTTCAGCCGGTCAGTTCCCCAGTGGGGGTCCCGGCTGACGGACTGCCCTGCTGCCAAAACGCCCCCTTACGCCAAACCAAACGGCCCACCCCCGCACCCACGGCCGCTCCACGCACGCAGAGCCCTGGCACCTCAGACACCCACAGCCGCACCCCCAGCCGCGAGTGGCCGCGGCAAGCCGAGGCCCGCCGGGCGCCGGGCGCCGGGCGCAGGGCTGGGCCGGCGCCGCGAAGCCGCGCTGCGCTCACCCCGCGTTGATGATGGCTGATCTGAAGATCTGGGCCTTGGGCGCGGTGCAGTGCACTGTCTTGCAGACGTCGTGCAGGCTGGGATGGGAGGAGGGGGTGCGGGGGTCATGTTGCGGGTCGCGGCCGGCTCACAGAGGCGAAACCAAGGGGGGCCTGCCGGCCGCAGGTTGAGACACACACATGCGTCTGCACGCTTGGCGGTTGGGCAGGCGCGGCGGGCGCGTCGAAACCAAAGCCCCGCGCCCCTGTGCTGCAGGACGGCACCGGCCAAGCACACGCCGTGCCCCCAGGCCCCCACCGGCCCCGGTCAACGCCGGTCAAACGCGCGCCTCACCTGTAGTACAGGGGGACGTCGGGCAGCTCCTCTGTGACGCTGGTGAGCAGCCCCTTGATGCGCGCGTGCTGGGCATAATGGTCCTTCTCAGCGTCCATCTGTGTGCGTTTTGGATAGATAAAGGTCAGTATTTCAATTGTCTGGGTGGAAGTGTGTGTGTGTGTGTGTGTGTGTGTGTGTGTGTGTGTGTGTGAGAGAGAGAGAGAGAGAGGGAGAGAGAGAGAGAGAGAGAGAGAGAGAGAGAGAGAGAGAGAGAGAGAGAG